AGTCCATCCCACTGTGTCCAGGCCATACTGACAGGCGTACATTGGAAGAGAGTGGCGAAGAAGAAAGCAACGGTATACGCAGCCGATAGACCCATGACGCTGTAGACAATCATCTTGAACTTCTTATCTGGAAAGACGCGAAGGTAAAAGAAGAGAATGGAGATCTTGGAAATACCAAGAGCTGTCACGTAAAAGATTTCTCCGTAGAAATAGTACCTGAGAACATTGGTGATTTGGTAATCCTTCAATGTCCAGATATCCCGGCCAAGGCCGTTATCCACCACTGGAGAAGAATGTTAGCAAGTTTGCTTGGGTTAAACGAGAAAACCAAGTTCTTACACTGTTTGATAAAGATGGTAGGGGGGATGGCGAGCCCAACCACAACGGCCATGGTGGCATCGTCCCATGACACCTGACGACCGTGTTTACCGATACTGGCCGCCATTCTGAGAACGAAGGATACTAGAGCGATTGCACATCCAACAATGCCACCGACGATGAATTTCTGGCCGCTGTAGCGTTCGGGGACTCCGCAGCCTTTGCTGCTGACATTCTTTGTTTCTATCACTATTGTCAGTGTCCAAACGCGTCAACTGTCAATGACTGGGTCATCTTACGCAGAAGTTCGTATTTGGTACATGTCTTCGCGGCACATAGACCGACAGCAGCATTGAGAGCCGTATTTGTGCACAAGCACGCCGAAGTGAGATTTGTCGCGCAGGATGATGTGGGGATAACCTCCATAAAACAAGCCAACTACACTCATCTGTTAGGTACGAGATTTGGTCATCTTGCAACAGGAGAAACATACCGCACACTTAGGCATATTTTCTGCTAGAGTAACCAGTGGGTTTTGTGCTTGAACGCCGGCTGCAAAGGCTGCAAGCCCTACCAGGACGTTTACAAACTTCATGGCGAGATGGAAGGTGTGCCTTGCCAAAATGCAAAGCAAAAACAAAAAGTATTATTGGTATAAGTAAAAAAAAGATTGATTGGCGCAGTGTCGGAAGCCACGCTGATGATCAGGGTCCCGGAGGTATGTACATGTATGAATATAAATCCGCAGTGAGCTTTGTCCGGTTGACTTACTGAGTAGTTGTTGGACGTGAAAAAGGCTCGGCAAGTGCCGTACACCCTCAGTTCATGAGCTTGACAGCCAAGAGAAAATTCTCCGATGTCATGAATCCGCATAAAATGTCACCAGCCAGGGTGACGAAGACAAACCAAAGCAATGGGTCGCAGTGATAGTAGCGTCGCATCGAGAACAATATCAGCGCTGCAAAACAAGCTACAGAACCACCTGTGCGCAGTTTTCCCACTGGCAGGGTACTTCGTATGCCAATCCTATGCCTTGCCGCATAAGACGGGCCCTTGAGCATTTCTTCCCCGAACGCTAGCCCCCTCTGAAAACGTCCGCTAGGAGCATTTTCTTACCAGTAATACCCGTACCGACGGCTAGCTTGCCGGAAGATATGAGCCGACATGAAAGGTGGGTGCAGTGGGTGCAGGCATGAAGCTTGCGTAGGTATACCCATCACCCAAGTGGAATCCGTCGTGGAGAACTTGTGGATGGGCCCTTTGTGGTTGTGCTGGGACTTGGGCGTGGTGATGAGCACAGGAGAGGCCCACTCCTGGCCAATCAGCGTCATGGCTGTTTACATACGCGCGTGAATGGCATGTGTCCAGCCAACCCAGCGGCAGGATTTCTTTATGCCTCTGTGATTGGCACTGTGACAGGTGCAGCATCGCGAAATTCCATCCCGTCTCCGATTTTTGATGTTTGGCAGGAAAGAAACCCTATCGTGTCGGCGGAGGCACTTGTCTGGGAAGAGGAGCTACGAGTCATGGCGATCGGGACGGCCCCCTCAAGATTTCGTCCAACGTCCTGGGCGGCCCGAATCCTAGCATGCTTGACGCGCGGTCCCTCGACTCTCCTGCCTAGAGAAAATGCAGCCTAGCATCAACGACCTTTTCCTTTTGTGTGAATAAACTAGACAGCCTGACTCGCGACATTGCAGACAGGGCTGCCACTAGAGCTGCAACCCCGAAGCGTGGAGCATCCCACGGATGCCTCTGGATTGCGCTACTGCGAGATTGACCCTTCTTACTAGGTTTGGAAAAGCGAGAATGGACATGTTAGGTTAGGTACCGTCTTGCTAGCAAATCTTGAGCGCAGAAGGGGATAGTTGATCGATGATCCCAATCACGGTGCTGACGACTTTCTCTGCCGGCAGGACATAGTGACGGCGTCAGGTGAACCGCATGCTAGGATAAATCGTGAGGGGGACTTGCCTTTTTTCAACTCCCCTACACACTTTCTTTGCCACAGTGGTGTGCATATCAACATTCGTTTTTCACCCAGTCATTCTTTTAACTTAGTTTAGCACATAAGGTACTATCACCATGATTGTCATCAAGGCTCTTACCGTCCTTTCATTAATTACTTCCTTTGCGGGTGCTCGTATCATGTATGCTTCCTATCCTTATACCTACACATGACATAGTCACATGTGCTCACTACAACAATAGCGATGGTGCGCAGCACACCCCATATGGCGGCGCCAACGTAAAGCGTGCTACCAATGTTACCGACACCACGACCCTAGAAGACTATGAGTATGTCATTGTTGGGTCTGGTGCTGGTGGTTCACCCCTCGCAGCCAGGCTAGCTCTTGCTGGCCACAAGGTCCTTTTGCTAGAGGCTGGAGACGACCAAACGAACACGACCGAGTACAATGTCCCAGCGTTGCATGCGGTCGCGACCGAGTATGAACCTATGAGGTGGGATTTCTTTGCTAAGCACTTTGATGACGAGGAAGAGATGAAGAGGGACACCAAGCTCACCTACCAACTTCCTGATGGCTCTCGTTACACCGGCGCCAGCCCCCCTGCTGGCGCGGAACCACTGGGCATTCTATACCCCCGTGTCGGATCCCTGGGTGGTTGCACTGGACACAATGCCCTTATTGCCATTTACCCGTACAACAGTGATTGGAGAAACATCCAAGAACTCACTGGCGATGATTCCTGGGCCCCAGAGAAGATGCGCAAATTCTTTACCCGTCTCGAGAGGTCGCGCTACCTGCCCAGCAGCATTGCTGGCCATGGATTCAATGGCTGGCTCGAGACCTCAGTGACCGACTTGACATTGATTGTCCAAGATCTCAAGGTCGTCTCTCTGGTCTTGGCCGCCGCTACCGGCCTGGGCAAGTCCCTTCTTTCGTCGCTCTTGACCACCGTTACGGGCTTGGCTCAGGTGCTGCTCCGTGACATTAATAACCCCAGCCCCAACCGCGATGGGCAAGAGGGCATGTGGCAGGTTCCTCTGTCCATGAACATTCCTGCCTACAAGCGTGCCGGACCAGTCGACTTCCTCCGCCAAGTCATCGAGGCAAAGAATGCCGACGGCAGCCGCAAGTACCACCTTGACATTCAACTCAACACTCTGGTCACCAACATCAGGTTCAACCAAACCGCCGATGGCAAGCCCAAAGCCACTGGTGTCAACTTCTTGACTGGAAGGTCCCTTTACGGCGCAGACCCTAGACGTCAGTCTGGACGTGCTACTGACAAGGGCACCAAGGGTGCTGTCACTGCTACCCGAGAGGTCATCATCTCCGCTGGCGCCTTCAACACTCCCCAACTCTTGAAGCTTTCTGGTGTTGGACCTAGGGATGAGCTTGAGAAGTTTGGAATCGAGGTCGTCAAGGATCTTCCAGGTGTAGGTACCAACCTCCAGGATCGCTACGAAGTCCCCGTCACTGGCCAGGCCCCAACCAAGATTTCTCTCCTCAACGGCTGCACTTTCCTCGAGGGCTACGACAAGTGCCTTGAGAAGTGGGAGAACCTTCCTTTGGGTATCGGAAAGGGTGTCTACGCTACCAACGGTGTTGCCTTGGCAGTTACCAAGAGGGCCAGCAACTCCATCCACGGCAACGCTGATCTGCTCGTCGCTGGCTGGCCTGCTTACTTCAACGGCTACTACCCCGACTTCTTCAAGAACGCCACCAGGGGCCAGAACCACTGGACCTGGCTCGTTCTCAAGGCCGAGTCTCGCAACAATGCTGGTACCGTCACTCTGCGCAGCGCTGATCCCCAGGACGTGCCCGAGATCCGCAAGCGCAATTTTGCTATTGGCGGCGACGAGGACCTCGACGCCCTTGTCGAGGGAATGAAGTATAGCCGCAAGGCCTTCCAGAGCCTCGTCCCTCTCGATGGCAAGTTCCAGGAAGTCTGGCCTGGCAAGTCTGTCCAGACCGATGAGCAGTGGAAGCAGTTCGCCAAGTACGAGGCCTGGGGTCACCACGCCTCTTGCACGTGCCCCATTGGTACCGATGACGACAAAATGGCCGTCCTCGACTCCAACTTCAAGGTCCGCGGAATCGAAGGTCTCCGTGTCGTTGATGCCTCTGTTTTCCCCAAGATTCCTGGTACCTTCCCTGTCATCTCTATCTACATGATCTCTGAGAAGGCTTCGGATGTCATCATTGCGGATGCCAAGAACTCCAAGGCTTAGATAATAAGATTGTTTGTCGTTGTCAAAACACATACCCCCTTGCTAGTAATATACCTTAATCATACAAATTATTTCAAAATGTGCATATTTAAAGAGTCTTACAGACTTTTCTACACAATTCGATATCTATACCATACTATTCCCTGTCTTAAAAAGAGGCGCTCGCTTATCGTTCTTTTGGGTCGGGGGCCCCATGCGTCTGTGGGGACTTATCGATTTTACTATCTATATGTGCGCTTTCTTATATCCGAGTAGTAACGGGCATCTTTCAATAAACAAGCAAAAGGCGTCCCGTCCCGTGCTCCGCAGCTGAGAAAAACTATAAACTGACTTTGCTGTCAAGCAAACGTTGCTCTATGACATCAGAAGCGAAAAGAACTCAATGACCGGGCTAGTGTGGTCTCTAGCCTTGTCATCACAACTCCAAGGTACATTAGCAGGAAGTATTCAACACGTCATCTCGCCGGTCCTTCACGACCAAGCCTCAATCCCCAACCCGCGGTCTCCTCGCCTCCCGCTCACTCTCCAAAAACCCCACCTCCTCCGCCTTCCTCATCAACCCACACGCCTGCCCCCTCGCCCTCTCCCTCCTCTCCCTCATTCCCTTCCACCTCCTCGGCGCCATCCTCCCCACCCCAACCTCCTCCTCCTCTCTATCCACCTCCACCCTCGCAAACCCCAGCAAATTCTCCTTAGCTTTGTTAACACTCCCATACGCGGCCTCCCACTCCCTCAGCCCCACGCGCGTGAAATACAAGATTTCCGTGAGCGACGGTCGCTTGCGCTGCGGAAACTCCAAACACCGGAACACGAGTTCCTCGAGGCGGCTGCTGTAACTGAACGAGTAGTTTTCGTGGTGCTCGAAGCCGAGCTGGGACTGCTCTGTGCTGGTCATGCCGCGCGAGACCCAGGGTTCCATCATGTTGAGCATTGTGAGGCCGACGTTGAAGATTTCCGAAGCGATGTCGACAGGTTGGTTGCGGTAGTCTGGGAAGTTTTTGAAGTCGTGTTCCTTGTACGCGTTAGCTGGGGCTCTCTACGCACTAAGAATCGGGGGAGGGTTAGTTGAACTGGTGGGAAACTTACCGGTGGACCATATCCCACAGTACCTACACCGATCTCCTTGCGCTTTGGATCGTCAAAGTAGCGGTCGTCGAAACAGAGGCCGAAATCAATCATTTTCGGGGTTGGATAGGCGGGGTAGTAGTCAGGCTGTGGTGCTGCTAGCACGACGTTGTAGGGTTTGATATCTGGGTCTAGTAAGAGCGACGATAAGAGATTAGTGTTGTATCTTCGCGTATCGAAGAGTCAAATGAGGGGGAGTACTTACTTATAATAGGCTTCCACCCCTCAACCGGCTCAAGATCCAAGCCCTCACCGTAACTATCCAACGGTAAGTGCTTGGGCACCGGTCTGCCCAGCGCCATGACGAACACTGCTTCAGCCATTGCGCGGAATACGAGCCATAGGAATGGTTCGGGGAGTTGTTTGCTGTTGAGGGATTTAGCAATGATCCAACCACAACTTTACGGTAAAGAAAGAATAAAAAAGCGAACTTACCCCGGATTCTCAAGCGCATGTTTCGCCAGATAATCCCCCAAATCCCCATGCTCAGCATACTCCATGAAGATATAACCGAGCTGCGGTGAGCTAGCTCTTCGACGGATAGCCGATCCGTACGCTTTCAGGACATGTGCACAAGGTACATTGGAGAGCTTCTTGTGCGCATTTTCGTATTCACGATTGAGACTTTTCTCGACCTCGCAGGTTGTGAGGGAGCCTATTATTTTGATGACCATTCGCTGATGTGTATTGTCAGTCCTTGTTTTTCTTTCACATACAGCATTTATATATATTGTATTTACCTTTAGAATGAGATGATCCGCAGACACGAGCGCAAACAAATGTACAATGCGCTGAGTTTGGTAGTCGCCGAGTGTGGCTTCTGGGACTTGCATGAGCGTTCGCTCAAAGACCCAGCGCGAGCCTGCGGGTTTTTTGGGCTTGTTCGTTGGTCGTGCGTCGTGGAGGTTTACGAAGGCGATATCTGACATTGTGGCTTCTGGGGTTGGGTCCTTGATAAACAAATGGTCGCCGGGGGCGCCTGCGGGACGGAGATGTGGGAATTGAACGACATGTCTTTTGTAAAATTGGCTTCCACGGCTTATATAGTGGTTGTGCTCAGCGGGGGTTCTATTCTTCCATCTATTGATGAGGTTATGGGTCTGTGATTCTGTTTCTGAGGTCAGCACGCGTGTTGGAATGGGTTGAGTGGAGGATGGTTGAAACATACCGGCTCGCAATCGTATATCTGTGACCCTGCATCCATATATAAAAGCCCTGAAGTCATTGTGCTCCTCCTGACGGACATGTTTGTCGGAAAATGTGAGCAGAGCCGCATGATTTTCGAAATTTTCCTGGTGTAAACGTGGATCTGGCTCGCTTTCTGCGATCACAATAAACGGCTCTCGGCTGATGGCATCGGTATTTCCCCATGCGTGAACGACTTTCTTTTCCGACGGTATAGCTAGGTATATATGTAAGCAATGTACTTCGTTAAGTGCGCGATTGAACTTACTTCCTGTTCGCTGCCAATGCTTGAGCTTGTGACCGATCATAAATAGGCGAAAGTCTTCGCCATGACCTCCTTCGTTCTGGATAGAGTGGATCCAGCCTACTTCAAGTGTTCTAGGTATGTAAATCTGTTCTAGCGTGGCAAAGTCGATTTGCTGTGCAGCATATTGCGCTTCAATGTTTACAGCCATGGCAGCGTATAGAAAATCTTGTTTTAGTAAAGTAGATGGCATGAGATGATTCAAATCGATACTCAAGTCGTGGTTGTTGAAGATACAAGTGGCGGTTTGGGTCTTTGTTCAGCGCATTCACACAAGTCTTTGTATCACGAATGGCCGGATTTGGTGTCGTGTTTACTCCAATTTTGTGGCAAGTCAAACAAAGACAAAGCATTGTAATCGTGTGAAATGTGTCAAAGCCATTTGGGATTCTATTTCAGCACCGTGGAATATTGAAGCCGAACACTTGGCTCCAATGATACCAGTCAACACACCAAATATGGACACAACTACAGAGCAAACTTTTCGTGCTGGGTTTCTCTACTCTCGCATGCCGACATGGGGCTAAAGTGGTACATCACCTATAATCAAATCTGTTTCGTGCGGAAAGATGGCTTTGGTAACGACCGTTGTCGTGTCAAGAAGAAGTTAATTTTTGGCCAAGGATATCAACATCATACAATCGTAACTACGTGCCCTTATGTCAAGTCCTCAGTGCCTCCCCGGCGGCCTCCAGTCAAAAAGATCGCCTGCTTCTGTGCTCCAGGGACCAACGTCCAAATCCACAACAGGGCTCGGTAACTCGACTTCTTCCTCAGCAGCTGGCGGCGGCACATTTGTATGTACCTGCAAACTCTGCGTTCTCTTGAACTTGTGCCGGGGATCCGTTTTCTTGATAAGCGCGCTTAGCCCGCTATCCTTTTTCTTTCTCATCTTTACGCCAACTGTACTCGCAATTGTCGGCTCATTGGCAGTATTTGTAGTGGGGCTACTAGGCTTGGGCAAATTGAGCTTTTCCCATTCTTCCGAAATGCTGGGAATTGGTGCATCATTCTCACTTCGAACGCGTCGGAAGGCACGGTTCGACGATTTGTCTGCCTGTTTGATTTCCCCTCCGTCCTCGATAGGATCCGCAAGCGCTTTGGCGAGGTTCTTGGGTTTTTGAAGGAGTCCAGCGAGTTCAGTAGTACTCATCAAAGGCCCTCCTTTGTTGGTTAGTGAGGGGCGCGGTGAGAGCGACAGGGGTTCATTGTGTGGTAGTGGTGGAGAGTTTTGCTTAGAATTTGTCAAGGCTGATTGGTTTTTGGTACGAGTAGCAGTCTTCTTGAGTATGTCGCCCGTGGAGAGCGGTACTTTGCGAGAAGATGTTACTGAGGTTCGTGATTGTACATCGGAGACTTCGGTATGTGCTGAAGACACATCTCTCGATGCCGGTATCACTGGTTCCAGTTGTATAGAAGATGGGGCCTTTGGTGCCGCCTTGGGTTTTCCTGCCTTTTTCGTAGGTCTTTTTTCAGTCGTCTCATTAGCGGATGATGTTTTCGATTTAGTAGTTCTGGGCTCAATTGTGTTTGTTTGAACGGCCATGTTGCTGACCGTTTGCTCTACAGTATGTATAGGCGATGAAGCAACTAACAACTGCTGATCCATAAGACCGTGGATGACTTCTGGATCTTCCTGGAGACTGGGCGATGGTAGGGATGGAGACTTGGAGACTCTTGCTCTCTTTGCCGCGCCGTGACCCGCATTTGTCAGAATTCGCTTATTCTTTGGGTGTCTTTTAGCAGAGATGGAATCGTCGTCTTCCTGTGCGAGGACAGGTAACAACTGCTCATCCGCTGTACGGGAAGCTGTCCGCCTGACCTTGGTGCCAGCTACTCTAGATCCACTATCGGCATTTGCGCTTTCTGGTGGTAGAGCCTGGCATAACAACTTCCCACGCTTTACTCCAGTGGACAGTCGAAGGCATCGGGCCTTGCGAGCCGGAGGCGAGGAGGGTGCTGGTGGCGGGGACGGTTCTTTACGTGGTACTTGAACTGGCTGCAATGCAAACTCGATATTGGACAAGCGGTTTGAGGCGCTCACTGGAGGCGAGGAAGGTGGGGCTGGCTGCCTGGGTGTCTCCAGAGCCCACACACCAGGCAACGGCACTTTGCCTTTTGGGATCTTTGGGGTTTGTGCAGGGGGCTGACGAGGCACAACTATCTTGGCAGCCTGTGACTCTTCTCTCTTATCGGCAGCTCGAGGTGGTGTGCTCGGAAGTGTGATGTCGGAGAAGATGGTCGGGTGAGGCTCGGGCTCGGGCTCGTCCTCTATTGTAATGACGGTAGCCGTGGGGGGTATAAATTTCGCTGGCTGTCGAACTTTGCGTGCGGCTACAGCCTTTGACGGTCTCGGCGATGTTTCTTTTGGCTCAACATTCTCTTCGTGTAGGGGACTAGACGCTCTCCAGCTTGCAGGCGCTTGATTCGTCTTCTGTCTCTTTGCAGCCCGCTCCCCAGCCAACTCGTTTTCCTTTTCCTTTTCCTTGCGAGCCTCGTATGGTGACTTTATGGGCTGTGCCTTGCCAATGGGCCCCTTTGGAGTCCCGAGCAGCGTATTGAGGGATTTGTGGCGCAGTTGCGAGGCAGCCTTCTGCGCATTTGGTGGGGCCACTGACAATGGGCGTTGGAAGGGCTTTGTCTGGGAAGGTGGGTTCGGAGCGGGCGGCAAGTCCTTGGACTTCCTGCCCAGGACAGAGGCCAGATCCGTGTGCGTAATGCCCACAGGCTCCGACACCTCGACAAGCGCGCCATTGTTCAGGTTCAGCTCGTCGCCCTCGTGCAGCTCGTCGCTGTCCTTGTAGTAGGTGTCGCCGAGAAAGTTGCGGGCCTGATCGTAGACCATGACGCGGTTGTTGAAGGTGTGAAACTTGAGGAAGCCATCCTGCCAGCGCTTCTGCTTGCGGCGGACATCGTGGGTGAAGAGACAGCGGAACTCAGCAACGGGCGCGGTGCTCTGGGAGGCTTGGATGGCAGCAATGGCGGAGGCGTGTTGGGTGTGGCGCAGAGGGGCCGTCATGGCACGGGCAGTCTGGGGGGACGCGTGGTGGGCAGGTGTTTGGCATACGACATGGATGCGGGCGCGGGGTTGGTGGGCAGAGTGAAGGAGGCGGCCGCACGGCACGCGTGCTCTTTTCGCGCTATCACGTGACCTAGAGGCTGACTGTGCCGGGGGGGTGCGTACGAATAGTCGTACATTCACCGCCGAGACACGCGGCGATACGTCGGGAGCCGTGCCAAACCCAGTCTTTCTCCACTTCAGTCATGCCACGTCTGCGGTGCCTGGCGCTGACTGGGCTGACGAGCTGAGGGCATGCAATGCAACGCAATCCACTCGCGGGGCCGCCCATCTGCATCCATTGCCTGTGCCTGTGCTCTCCATCTCCTCCATCCATGCCCAACCCACCGCCTCACGGGCACAGCCACCGCTAGCCAATCTGTAAATTGCCCATCGCCCATTGCTTAACGCCATTGTCTGCTACTTGCAGCATTAGCATTGCATTCCTCTCTCCCTAATATCTTCGCCTGCAATTGCTTGCCCCCGCCCCTTCAAGATGCAGCGCATGCAGAGAATCACGGGCCGTTTCTTGACGCGCACGCCCAATGAGGCCGATGTCGAGGCCATGCTCAAGGACTTTGAAGACTCCAAGGTCATGTTGGAAAAGGTGCGTTCCATTGTGGCTTGCCGCCTCAAGCCATGGCCTGCTTTGGACATGTGGGGTCGTCGCGAGACATGCCCTCCCTGGCATTGGCTTTGTCCTTGCCGTCGACAAACAACGCGCTGTTGCTATTACTCTGCTGGCTATTGTCTACTGTCTACTGTCGCCTTTGTCCTAGTCGACTAACAACCCCCCTAGCTCGAAGCCTCCGCAAAGCAATGGAGAGACGCCTGGACAAACATTCTCAACCACCAGCTGTCCTCGGTCGAGCAGCTCTACACCATCTTCAAGCCTCTCGGCGGCGAAGGCGGCTCCAGCACACATGTCCATGTCGAAACTCCGGCTGATGTCTTGGAGCGCGTCCACGGCCTCCATGAAGCCTTCTCCGAACTCAAGACGGACATGATGGAGGAGGTCAAGGACATTGACAGGAAACTTGTCGTGCCTGCCAAGCTGGCCCGCGATGCCTTGAAGCCCATGGAGAAGGCCATTAAGAAGCGCGAAGACGCAAAGGTTCGCCACGTTTTGCACAAACTCGTCTGTCGTCATACTTATTGTCTGCTTAGGTTGATTACGAACGCTATAAGAGCCGCTGCGAAAATCTGCAGAACAAAAAGACACGCTCTGAGCGTGAGAACAGTGCGCTTGCTAAACATGAAGTCGACCTTGAGCGCTCTACCCATGCCTACCAACTCGCTGACGAGAATCTCCGTGAGCGTCTCCCGCGCCTCAACGCTGCCACCTTTTCCATCCTACCCCACCTTCTCGCCAACCAGATTGTGTTACAAAATAACCTGATTGGAAACTTGTACACCGTACTACATCAATACTCAAACGAGCAAGGCTACCCGGACCCACCGCCCGAGCCTGAAGAGGTGATACCGATATGGGACGAAAGCTTTACACCACTGCGCACAGAGATGGAGACAAACTTTGGCTTGCTCAAGTCAGGAAAAGCAGTTCACATGCCTATGCGATTGCCAGACAAGGGAGACACTGTGACCGGTCTGGGAATAAGGAACAAGGTGCTGCCCAGCCGGAGAGCTAGTAGCAATGACAGCCTACCTACCATCAGCAGTGCCGGGAGACCGGCGCGGCCCCCACCTGCCCTGTCTTCAACATCGGAAGGCGCCCCTCCCCCCATCAGCCTAGCCAACAAACCTTCATACAGTTCGCTCAGTGCTACAAAACCCAAAATCTCTGGTTCGCCCCATCTGAGCGCTGGCGGAGACATGTTCGGCCGACGGCTGTCATCTACATCCCAGGCCTCCTCGTATTCGAATGGCACTAATGGTGATGGCTACTTCAACAAGATCCCGTCAGCCGCTTCCAATGGCTCAACCCCAGGCGGATACCCAACCTCGCCCAATCCTGCGGCTGGAAAGAAGAAGCCGCCGCCACCTCCGCCAAAGAAGATAGGCTCTTTCCAGTCCGAGTATGTGACGGCCATGTACGACTTCGACAGCCTTACACCTGGCGATTTGTCATTTAGGGAAGGTGACCGGATTAGAGTGATCAAGAAGACGCAGAGCTCACAAGACTGGTGGGAGGGTGAGGTCCACGGGCAAAAGGGTAGCTTTCCTGCAAACTACTGCAAATAAGTTTGGGTTCGCGACACAGACATGACATGCGGATGCGAGACAAAATGGGGCTAAAAAACTGATATCCAAAACTGCATTAGACGGAGGCGTTGGTATCCCTATGCGGCCTTGGGCACTCCTGAGGCTGAATAATTATTATTGTTTGAAGTTTCAACACAATTGAGACGTTCTCAGAGCTAACGCCACCTCCATGCAAAGGTCATCAGCCTCCTCCACAAGGTGGCTTAGCCCTCCAAGTCGATACAGGCTTTTGTCCAATCACACGTTGCCATGTGCGTAGTTGCATCGACTGTGCCACCAAGACTCCGCCTAAGGCGCTTTTTGGCCCCCGCCCAGCCCGCATACCCCTTAGCTCCCGCCATCCCATGTCGTCGTGTGCCTGGTATGCTTGCACGTGTAAGAGCATCGTGACACTGCCACACCCGCAGCCTGCGACAAACTTATATATGGCTCAGCGCCTTGTCTGATTTTACCCTGGTTCTCGCCCAAGGGAAATACTATGGCTGAGAAGACGCCAGTTCAAATGAATCATCAGAGCTACATGCTCAAGCCTCCCTTCTCTCCACAACCTATTCCTCCAAACTCCAACGCGGATGCGGATAATACTCAGTCAACAGTTGGTATCACCAATCAGAGTGGAACCATTTCTCCTAGCAACACACAACCTTTTCTTCAATCATCCACCAGTCAGCCTTTATCAGCCCTTGACTCCCTTCCCACCATAACCGGCAAAAGCGACCACATCATCAGACCCGAGTATGAAATCCCAGCTTTTCTCGCCTTTGACCTCGACCTTGCTCGCCTAAACCGCATCCATGGCCACCTCTGGATGGCCGGCCGTCCCATGCGCGCCCGTCCTCTGCACCGCTACACAATGCTCGGCATGCAAGTCATCCAAACCCAACAAATGGACCTGCACCTCCTCAAATTCAGCTCGAAGCTGCTCATCAAGCCCCTCCCAGAATGGATCCTCTGCCACAAATTCTGGACCGACTGGATCTGCAACTACGACGATGCCGACGGCAAACGCGAACCAGGTTGGCTCTGGAAAAGCGCAGCCGGCTTCCTCGTTAGCTATGTGTGGCTAGTTACTACACCCTTGGACCTCAAGATTGCGCATGAGAACTCGCTGCTTCCGTCGTTTGTAACCTGGCACTGGTGGAAGGCCTTTGTCAGCGATTTTATCAGCCATGTGGATATTGATACGTTGCATCAGGTTAATAAGAGGTATCAGTTTGGGGATTTGAGGTTGGGCAGGATTAATACGACGTATCGGGTGAGATATGCGCATACGCATTTTGTGAGGGGGTATCTGTATGTATTTCCCCTCCGGCTTTCTTCTCTTTGAGTCTTTGTGGAAAAGGGTTTTTTGCTGACTACGAGCTTGTTGATCAGATGGGGCTACAACCGCTACGTCATCTTCTTCCAGCGCAAATTCTCCTGGGTCCTGATCGTCTTCGTTTTCTTCTCTGTCGTGCTATCAGCCATGGAAGTCAGTTTCTCGCTTCCCTCCACATCGCCCATTTCTCTCGAAAACGATCAAGCATTTGTGCAAGCGGCGTTTGCATTTGTCGTCTTCAGCATGGTTAGTGTGCTTGTCATCTTGGCGTTTGTGGTTGTGATTTTCGTCGGCACGTTTGTGTTCAATATGGTCATGGCGATTTCGCATGCGGGGAGTGAGCAGAGGAAGAGGAGGGAGTTGGCGGTGAAGAGGAGGCAGGCCGTGGAGAATGGGGGGGAGTCTTAGGTGGGTGTTTGGGAGATGGAAGATGGAGTTACGTCTTTTTCAACGTGTTGATGATGAATGGATTTCGATACTACTGGCATGTTAAAGAGGAGTCTAAAAGCTGATGAGCGGCAACGACGAGTTTCAGGTATGTATAGAGCGAGTACTTACATCCACAGATGCATGATCTTTCTCTCGGGCATTTACGAGCATCGACTTTTGGATGGGTTTTGCATTATCATGGCTTCCATTGTATATCCAGTTTTCATAGACTATTTCCCCTGCGCAACGAAATATAACCTCACTGCAATAATCTAACTACATATACTTAGGTATTTCGTCAGTAATGCTTACCAAAATGCAGACTAGCGAAAATCTGCTATGACTGGCGTATGCAGTATATGGAGTCGGACAAATCCGCTCTAGCCTGTCGCGCAACACACCCCGCCACTCGCACATGACTCTCCTCCCCGCAAAGCTCCCCACAGTATAGTACTTACCCAGTCCCCAATACATACAGCTAATAACCCGGAACTATACAATGTCTATGAGACACGTGCGTGCAGGCTTCGGCCAAGCATGTACCGAGAAAACCGTCGCATGTCAAGCTTCTTGGTCTACTGTGTTCTTTTAATCTATCGCGTTGGTGATCGCGTCGGCGTGCATCCTTGCCGGTTAATATGGAAAGCGGGATAGTGAGGCGGAATAGCGAAACGTCATGGGACACACTTTTTGTTCGGTCTTAATTATGGTGCGAGAAGAGGACAGAATGGCATTAACTTGCAAGATGTATAACATCCTTATCGTATAAGATGGCGCGGGTTTGGAGAGTCTTTTCTGGAGAAGTAAAAGTCACTTACATTCTTCTTTTTCTTTTTTGACTGCAAGGTCGAGTCGCATCTGAACGGTCATTTTTAGAGCTTGATTTCGCGGAAGCCGTTTATCGTTGACGTGGAGTATTTATACACCTTGTTTCCCCAGAAAAGTACAAGGAGAAAAACAATACACCTCAAATCTATCAAAAGGATAAAAAGAGAGAGAGAGAGAAGATGCGCTTCCTCCTCCCCCTCCTCTCCCCCCTCCTCCTCTCCGCCTCCGCCTCCGCCTCCCCAGACTCCTCCACCCCACCCGCCGACGAACCAACCCCCGTCGGCGCCCTCTGGACCGCAAAATGGAATGACACCACTCTTGCCCCTTACACGCAGCACTGCCGCTCCTCATCCAGCTACACGGCCAAAATCTACAAACTCAACGAACTCTACCCGGACCTCGCCGAGCAAGCCCCCCAACTCAAAGTCTTCTACAACAAGCAACTCTACGCAGGCTCCTGGGACGGCATCGACGTCCACGGCGTGGGCCGCGAGCTCATCGCCATGCACATGACCGACGTGCCCTACAAAGTGCGCGAGTGGCTCAAGAAGGAGAGTCTGCAGCGCCACTTTAGTGTACAGGATGACTTGGTGTTTTTTGCCCCGGGCGCGATTTATCCTTTGCTGCCGCTTTGGGTGGAGGATGTGGAGGAGGAGGAGCAAGGGGGGCAGTGTGAGGGCGTGTTTGAGGGGCTTGAGAGGTATAGTAATGAGCTTGGGGATGGGAAGGTGGTTGGCAAGGTTAGGCATGAGAGTGTGGGGGATAAGGAGGTTAGGTTTACGGTTGAGGCGATGGTGGTGAGGGCGAGGGAGGGGAGGGACGAGTTGTAGATGGGGTTTGGGCTGCCATGGCAAGAAGTTAGATTTTTTTTTCATTTCATTATTGTATGGGGATATGGAGTTTGGGAGAGGGGGGTTTTTTTCTTTTATATTAAGGATAAGATGGGGTTGAACAATGTTAGCACCGCTACATCTTGTAGTAAAGAAAAAGGAAAAAAGCCAATTTCAAACTGCCTCTTCATGACTGGCGTCTCGTCTTGCCTGCCCCTTCTCAACAGCCGCAATCTCCCTTTCATGTCGCCTTCTCACGATCCCTAGCATGATGGTGTTGTAGACCAAGAACAGCGCAGCAGCAACGACACTGCATGCCGCCGTAACCACAATTGTCACACGAGCAGTAATACTGTACTGCCCGTCCTGCGCAGAATACACATTCACAATCGTCGAGATGAGACCCGCAATGCTATTCAGCAGTGCAGGCAGGAAAATCCTATGAATCACCCACACGTAGTTTTTGCGATGTTGCCACCACAGCCACAGACACCCCACGACGCCAATGCCACATGCAAAGGCCGCGACGTACAGCAGAGGAATGTTGCGCACGGTTTTCAGAGCCGCAGCGCTGAAGCCGTTGTCCCCGGGCTTCGAGTCGGTGCGTTGGAGTTTGGTAAAGGTCGCGGGGAAGACAATGTAGCCGGCTAGTAGAAGCCAGACGAATGCTGAACAGAGCAGGTTGTGCAGTGGGGAGACGGAATCGAGGCCGAGCAGCATGTCAATGTAGCGTGTGCGTGCTGTGGTACGGCGGCGCTCAAGACCCGGTCTTTGAGAGCGTGGATTGGTTGGTACCGAGTTTGCAGTTTGCCCATGTTGGCGTGGTGGTCGCGCTGTGTGGGCTATGCGTGTTGAAGGCGTGCGACTTGGTGGTGGTTTGGTAGGGATATAAGACCCCGCCGAGCCGTTGTTATTTATTCCCCTCTCCTTCTTGTTGCTGGGTGTGTAGTAATTGGTTGCTGACTCTGATACGGAGGATGTCATGGCTGTATCGCTTGTTGGCTTCGATGAAGACCGCATTGATAGTCTTTTCGACAATAGTTGATATTGAATATGGCTACAGGTCGCCAGTGGACAGACCCCACACAATGTGCAGGGTTTCAAGGGACGTTCATCGCGCGGATTTATCGATGTCGTAAATGTACCGCTCTCCACTATCTCTCCAGACGCCTTATGCCGTCACTAGTCTACCAGGCCTTGCGCAGGTACGCAAAACCGGTTCCTAGCGCATTCCCACGTCGCGCTGCAGGGCTTGGCCTCACTGATAACGGCCACTACCCGGATTCTGGACTGCGCCATTGCTTGTTTGCGATAGGATTTGCAGAAGTCGATGTGTGGTGGATGGTGGTTGGCGGGTGTCGTGGGCTTGGTGGAGAAAAAGGGCTGTCAGGGTCTGACATTACGTCATTCCTCAGTTCTCCCCTTTCTTTGCAACGCAGATCATGGCCTATGTACTATTGCGCCATCAACTTTTCTCCATCAAGCCGAGGGTGCGAACGTGTGGGCACAAGATGTCGCAGATACCTCGAGGGTATGAAACTCGGTTACTTTGGTCCCTTGGTTGTGATCCCGTCTCTTTACAGCCAATCCGTCCTTGGCTATTGTATCACATCGCCCTTACCATCATTAGGGGCTCTTAGTACACCTGGAATTGGTGGGATAAAGAGAACTGCTCGAGACATCTGTGTCCAGTTGGTATTTCTGCCGTACTAGGGGGTATATCTGACCAAGCCACAGTGTGTTCAGCGTCAGGCTCGAGCACGCACTCAACATTACTCCACTGTTGCGCTCATTTGACGGCCATCTCTTTCTATACAAACACGGCTGTATCTATATGTAGCATCTCGACACGAAAAGGTTCATACGTAAGAGGATTTCGCCTCTACAGAAATGGAGTCGCACAGCATTCAGCCACATAGGTAACGCCGAGGGGAATTGGCTTCCTCCCGCTTAGACGAAATGCGCTCCTCCACAGCGGAGGGCCTAACATGTAGAAAAGTCCAGCGGCAAACTTCCTCCATGGGTAGATGAGACCACATTATGCCGCAGAACTTCGTTCTATCCAGCCTCTAGAACCAATCCCTGCATTCCTCATATAGCCTCCCAACACCCTATTGGATGGACAAACCCCGCGTCTGCATACAACACAGAGCTAGGCTACACTGGCGCATTATTTCCGATCAATATGGTTTGCGTAAGATGAGGCTTACACTGCCATTGCATGAGCCAGGCACAGGCGCCCAGTAGGCGGCGGGCCATTTCGGTACGGGCTGGCACAATCTGGTAGTACCCTACGGTTGGGTTTTTTCATATCCAGTGAACACAATGAAAAGAAAGATGAAGCGCCTGGACATGCGGTTGGATTTTCATCCCGATTTTTTTGCTTTTCGTTGAGTATTGGGTTCCAAGGCTGCAGTGTGTCACCATGGCGGTTGGAGTTGCTTCAGAAGCTGTTATTGTGAGTGTTCCATTATAGCAATGCCGAAGAGGTGGTGCGTCTCGATATTTACTAAAGCTCGTGTGCAAAGCCCATTGAGGCCATGTTATTAGGTCTCTCTACATTCGTAGCGTCTGGTCGTCTTGTTCCACGATTCGTGCAGCGGCAACATCTTACCTTAAGCGATTGCTTCCTGGTCGCATCAATACTCGACGCCATCGGACTCTTCGTGACCGATGTCTTGACATACGAATGGGGTGGTATGGCGGAGGACGAAGTGGAAATGTCGGATGCTCGCGCCATTGCCCTCAAGAAAGTAGGGAGTCTAATCTGGCAGCTCATGGGGTACTAGTGAGCTGACAACCCTCCCAACAGGTACAATTTGCTGGCAATGCCTTCTATGATATCGGAATTTACTTGCCAAAACTAGCCATCCTCGCGCTATACTTTCGTCTGATCCCGCCGACAATGCCATGGTTACGAAAAGCGCTCTATGCAGTGGCGGTATTCACGGGAAGCGCCATGATCACAACATTCTTTCTAGATACCTTCTGGTGCGGTTCTGAGGTTTCAGTCAACTGGTCTCTGGAAGAAGATGCATGTAATACCTTCACTTCAAAAGCGGTCTTCAGGATCGACTGGGGTATGAATATTGTGTCCGACATGTTGAGTATGCTCTCGAAATATTCACTATATTCTCAGCCAGAATCTGACCAAGCGGCAGTTTTCGGATTGCCGTTCCCACTTCTTCACTCATTGCAGCTCCAGCGCCGTCAGATCTGGGGTCTTATCGTCACATTTTGCCTCGGGGCAGTCACCATAGCAATGAGTGTTATTCGATTTGTGACAATAGAGGTCATTTATGCCTGGACGAACGTTTGTATGTCGTCATATTCTGGACGCAGCAGAGCTGCAAAGAGGTCACCAGCACTAACACATTTGCAGTTGTGCTTTCAATGGCTGAGCTGGCCATTGCTATTATCGTAGTATCGCTACCATCCATGAGATCATTCCTTCGGCGCGGTAGCTTCTTCTCCTTCCACAAAAAATCACGCACATCGGATTCCCGCACGACCTATGGCCAACGGACGCCTGCCAATGGCTCCCAGGGATTTATGCGTCCTTCCAGAAGAGGAAAACACACCGTTCGCATACATAGCGACGAGGAGTCTGGAAGCGAAGTGGAGCTGAATAGTTTTGGAAGGAAGGATGTCATTTACGAGACGCGGCGGGTCAGTGTGCAGTTTTCGCGGTCGCAGGATGAAAACAACGAACCTGTTGGAAGATTGCCATGAGAATTATCCCGGAGCTGGCCGCCCGACAGGATTTTCAGCCAGTACGGGGGCCGAGCGAGGTGGTATGATACTGAAGGATCGAGACAGGGTCCGTTAATGGAGTACAGTAACACCAGGCTCAGTAGATTTTCCTTATTAATAATTACTAGCCATGAAAGTTCAGGATTCGTCCTTGGTGAGCGCGTAGCCATTGGCATGCTCTGGTCGTGATGGCGCTGTTCATCCATGTTCACATGGCGGTCCGCGTTGGTGGCCGAGCGCCCGCGCCTCACGGGGAGCTGCTCCAAGCGAGCCCTGAACGCCGCTGGCTCCACCTTTCCAGACGTCTTCATTCACCTTGGCTTCGAACCGTGCCGCAAGCATGCTGTGGGGTGGATCAACATTGGCAGAATGCTTCGCTTATATTGCACTTTGTCTGGCAAATTAAGCCACCGGTTCCATGCCAAACCACAATTAAGAACACATGTCCAACCCCTACACATAGTAAACAACGACTGACGCTGATGTATCTGTACGTCCATACCTTGTAATCACACGACAACTTTTACCATCGAAGCCAATGCCTAGAAAAATACTATGGATGAAAAGTGGTCCATATGGCCCCATGCTATTCCCGCCTTCAGTCTAGGTAGTAGTTGAAAACCCAGGCCAACGGTCCAGCCGACAAGCCAGACATGGGCTGCTGTTGGGACCGGCCCATTCCTTCGCGGCTTCAAAACCGCCTCCCATTCCCAGAGCCCCCTTCCGCGTGCATGCATGCAATGGACATGTCTATCATTCCTTCGACACTATTGGGGGCTAATATCCGGTCTGCAACCTCTCATGATAGGTGGTGCAGTCGCCCCTCCCCTCCAACATACGACCCAAGGTCTTGTCGTTGCGAGATGTGCGCTGGTGCAATCTATCTGTGCCCCCCCTGCAAGTATAGCTAATGTGCATGCCTTATATACAAATGCCATGTAGAAGGTTTTGTTAGTTCACAACTTCTGAAGCGAGCGAACCGCCCTTCTTCTCTTCATTGGGCTTTTAACCTTTTCAGCTTCGTGACACGATATTCGTCACACTACGGCCGCGAGCAACAATGGCAAAACGCATTACCGGGCAAGATTGCATGGTGAGTTTCTTCCCCAAAGCCACAATACTGCATACATGTTCTGTATAGGCTGACGGATGAAATCGTTTTTAGATCTCGGAATGGATCCTGTTAATCTTCGCTTACATCTTCGTTGCTCTACGCATTTACACGCGTTTGTTCCGCTTACATTCGCGCCTCGACTTGTCCGACTATCTACTTATTGCGTCGGCGCTGGTAGCTCTGGGTTTGATAATCTGTGACACGCTCACATTCCGAATGGGCGTCATGGATTCTATCGAGTACATGACATCTGTGAAACTATCAAAGGTCAGTTCTATCCTTTGCCGCAAAGACTTAGTTGCACGACTAACGCTGGTTTCTCTGTCAGATCTCATTCGCATCAAACTACTTTTACGATGTCGGGATGGGCTTCCCCAAACTGAGTATGCTCGCGTTTTACTGGGCGTTCTTCAATCTGGCAGGTCATCCTGGATTGCGCAAGATGCTGTTCGCTATTACGGCATTTGTGGTCGCGTGCTATGTCACGATCCTCTTTGACGACACCTTCTTCTGCGGTGTCCCTGTCTCCGAACAATGGTCTCAAGAAGATGGCGCATGCTCTGTCTTCTATGCACCAGAACCCTTCATCCTCAACTTCACCCTCAACCTAGCGTGCTACCTTGTTGTTTACGCTGTCCCTGTTGTCCTTTTGGCCAAGGGAGTGCTAAGGTCCTCGACGGGCGTTGCTCTTACTTTCGGCTTGGGTGCTCTGACTATTGCATCGGGTATCGTGCGTTTCGTCTGCCTTAAAGTTGGTACTGGACAGGCGAACCTCGTTTGTAAGTACTGTCTTTTCCGACCTTCCGTCTTTGATACCCAGCAGATTGGCTAACACATTTTTTTTGCAGATCCTCTGAGCATGGTAGAGATGGCGCTCTCTATCATCGTTGTCGCACTTCCTGGACTGAAGCCGCTTGTGCGGAAAGAGACAAAGTACTAGCTGACTGTTGGAAAAGGAAGAGGCATTCGGAAAGATGGAATTTGGTTGTTGGAGGCGATGCAAAATAGAATCAAATAGACTTTAAATTCGTTCGTCAACTCTGAGGTCAATTCCGAATTTCCAGGCATTTAACAGTATCTCATATCCTTTGATATGTAAGGTGCTCATGTGATCAAGTTAGCGCGACGGTCGAAGCCTGGCACGAAACATCACCACACGGCTGCTGAGTGTGCAACTTACTATGTAAACTTACTTTTTCTTCCCAACTTTTATCAATCTACGCAGTGATATATACATGAATAAGATATACTACCATCCGTGACCATTGTGTCTCCATTTGTAGTCGATATCTAACACTGATCCGTAGTGTTTGAAATAGGCTGGAACCACCCATCTAGAATTGGTCACTATGAGGAGAACATATTTTCCTCGAATGATGTGACATCATTAAATCGCGACTGGGAAAATAGACATACCTTCAACTCAATCGGGTTTTCATGGTTTGATCTCTTATACAAACAGCTAGTAGCGCCAGCAAATTTCACGGATTGTTTATATTACATCAACATGAGTTATGAATAGGATATGTTGAATCGCCTATCTAGTGGGTTATAACAGAAACTCTCAGAGCGGACGCAAGGCCCCACTGCGGTCTTCTGACCATCTCCCCGCAATAGCTTGTCGCATACCCTTGCCCCAAAACGCGACAGGCAGCGCAACCAGCCCACCGAGAATCTGAAAGATCATGAGCTCAATTCCCACCCATAGATACCCATGGGCCTCGACCCAAGGCACAAGAGCAAAGCTCATTGCAAAAGAGATGAAATAACAGCTTCCAATAACCACAGCAAGCGCCGGAGCAGCCCACCGTGGGAAAGCTTCCGCAACCCAAAGTGTGTTTGCAGTCATTAAAGTAACGAGAGAGAAGCCGTGACCTCCGTAGGCTAAGTAGAGAAACACCCAATGCCATTGTAGCTTGACGGAAAGACCATAAAGGAGAGAGCTCAAAGCGCCAACGATGATTGGCAGAACATAGGCGATGAGGTAGTGCTCGGCCTCGAGGACACCATGATTGCGCTGTGAGAGTCGCTTGAGACCATTGCAGATAAATATCCAACACACAGGAAGTCCGATCAGTGCTCCCACGCCAGATGCGGCATAAACCGTGCCGACAACCCCAGGCGACAGGTTGTAAGGAGGAGAAGTGAGTATGCGACTGCTTGTTGCGCCGATGAATATCATACTTGCTGAGTTGAAGCCGGATGCGACAAAGACCCAGAAGAGAAGGGGATTGCACGCACAGTAAGCCATCTGGAGATAGCACCGACCTGCCGAACTCCACGATGCAAAGGGGGATCGTGAGAGTCCAACGCGATCACGAAAACCGGCAAACCCTGTACGGACTGGGTATTCGGGAAGATCGCGATAGATGCTCGAGTCAACCTCGCGGTCTTGGTAGATTGTCAGTTTCTCGGTCGCGCTCTGCATTAGTATGAGACCGTTGAAGGCCACTGTTGGTCGCTTGAAGTATGTTTCCGGGTAGAGCACGAAGGTGACGAAGAGTGAGATGACAACAGGTATAGTCCAGAAATAGTAGAATTGGCGCCAATTCTGTCCGTGATGTGCGATGACTGGAGCCAGTGCAACGCCCGATGTGCCAAAACAGCCTGCGATGCACCACATGAACGAAATTGCTCGCGGCCTTTGGTTGATGTAGGTCAGATCAATGACTATGAGGAATGCCTGGCATTGTCAGTAACAAGTCATCATGGTCGTTGAGATGTATCACTGACCAGACAAAGACCCAGGCCTTCACTAAGACCGATAAAACAAGAGGCAACGACTAGTTGACCAAAAGTTCGTGCCTGAGATGCCCCGAGTGTAGCAATCAACACAATCATGGTGGCGATCAAGACTGTCGGTCGACGACCTAAGCCGATGGAGAGTGGCACCCAGACAAAACATCCAATCCCCATGAAAAGAGGAGGACCGGTAACAAGAGCTTTGATCAGCCATGGCGCTATGTTCTGCAAGTTTGTTAGCGAAGTGTCCATGTGAAGCAGGTCGATCCTTCCAACCTCATGTTTGAAAGTATTCTGGATGCTGTCCAACATCACAGCTGGCGCCTGGGCAGCGGTCAGGCAGACGGCGGAGAAAAGGACGATGGCAAAGAATGCCCCGGCAGTCTTTGCGTTACTCCAGTTGAGAGGATCAGCTTTGCTTTCTGAAGCAACTGGCAGCTTCAGAGTTCTTCCATCATTGGTGATGAGGAATGTTGTGCCAGTCAGATTGTAGGATTCGCGTTTGGCACAAGCATCAGTTGCAATGCTATCTGCTCTAGCTCTGGAACCAAGTTTGGAACGAACGGAGGGTAACCGGGTGATTACTGGAGTATGAGGAGAGGACAAAGGAGACATTTGACGAGGAATAACGATTGGCTCAAACTGATGTGGGGGAGCCAGCTCAACCTCGGGGTGTGGATCTTCCAGTGGCACAGCCGTGCTGGAGTAGGTGCCGGTAGGGGAGAGCATGATGTCCATTTTAAGGAATGACCAAGGAAACGATCCAGTAATATTAGGCAAGCCGGGAGTGGACCATAGGAAAGTTGCGGCAAGGAATGCGGGAAACACTGGGGAACAAAAACCATGAACGTGAACGCCACCGCTACCTTATAGCTAACGGGAAGTTCATGTCTGACGGCGCACGTGTATGCGGGCTCTTCCACCAGCCGCCGATCGATCATGCCTCTTGACACCAATACATAAGTACGCAAAGTTTAAAAAGTCGGATTGAATGCTCCTAAACACATGGCATGGAGCCGGAGGGGTTCAGGTGCCCGAGCAGAAGGGGCACAAGAGCCAGCTTGCGCCCGCCAAGCGAAGTCTGAATTCGCGATTGCACCCAGAAGTGGATGGATCGGAGAATTAGCAGGACCAACTGATTGGGCTTCTGAGTCGTAGTCTACTGAATAGGTACTGATCGCCGACATCCCGCTAGGAGTGAACATGTCTTTGTAGAAGGAGAGCGGAAGTAAGCCGGCGTATATCAAATTCCTAAACACGCTAACTTGACAACGACGGGCACTAGTGACGGTTGGCCCGCGCACTGAGCCCTGTAGCCCATGTGCGGGACAACGACCGCCAGCCCTCATTCGTAGTTGAGTAACTGACTAAGTCATCTCGGGCTAGCATCTGCGAATAAGGCCCTGGGGCTCAGACGGCGTGGCGTTTCGTGACCCTCATGGGTTCAATTGCTGTCACGCAGAGAGAGGTATCTTTGTTTCACACAGAGCTGTTGCAGACTTGGTTATAGTACAGGGCAAATAAACTGCAGCAAGCAAGAAGTTCGTCACTCACGCCACGATCCTCGCTGTTGAAACCCTCGTCGCCTTGGACGTTCCTCAAGCTTCTTACTTTCGTTGCCCAGACTCGTAAAACTACTTGAATTGTGAGTTGGTGCTGAGAAATGACAGCGGCCCAGGTTCCATGGCCAGTGACACTAGCGCTCGCAACGACACTGACGGAGCCCGACGATGAGTAAGCGTATAGCATCACAATGGAAAACTTTGTTACACAGCCAAAGCACCAGTGCTTTTTGCAATCATGGGTGATTTCCAACCATCAAACATCCAACACCTTGACAAAAGGGCAGATCTCCAAGCCCCATCGTCTCTCAATTCGGGCTTATGTATACGAAGTTGACCTCAAATGGCTACTCCCAAATGACATAGGCTGAGCTCTTTGTGCTATGCTCTCTTCCGCATGATCTGGAATTATTCAATGGATATACAACACTGTGTAGTGACATCCAAGTGTCAGGGTCAGGAACGGTGACAATTACTACCTATCCTCATTCAGGAATTCATACTTATGTCGGCTTCATGGCCAATTAATAATCGCGATCGTTTCTTCTAGCAGTAGACGACATCATCAGTAGATGTCAAGCTCGCGTGTAAGCGATCTTTTGTCGAGCGGCCCAATCGTTGTGCTGACAAAATTGCGGCGAGATTTACGGGCGTAAAGGAATAGTAGTATGTAGGGCTAAGATTAATCAGCACTGATCTGACTCCCAAGCAGATGATTTACAACCAAGCCTTTGAAACTCACAACCCCTTTATGAGCGCCAATACTTGATTTTGCCCGTGACAATAGCTTGGCTTGGTGGAGAGAAGAATAGCATTTAGCGGGGTGTTTCCAAGCTTGCGCAAATCCATACTAGTACTGTCACAACGCGACTCAGTGGCGCGAACATGATGTTCTGCACAATGCCTGCGCATATCAGATTTGCAATAGGTACATACGCACTACTGCGTATATTCGGTAGAAATGTGGCAATCACATCTGTAACCGGATGCTTCTCGTTGCTCCCGATGCCCGCCATTTGTCCGCCAGATCCATACAATAGATAATGCAGAGTGACAGCTGGTGTGAAACTAGGACGGCGAAGTAGATAGTAGATGCGGCATCTTCGCTTGTATGAGTTAAAACTCACTTTACTTGTTGTTCATCGTCATTTCTCTAGCAAGGCAGAAAATGTTGATTTCTGCCCTACGCGGATGCACGTATCTGCGTGCATGGTGCACAAATTCAAGACTGGTTTCGGAGATCCCTATGCACCACTCGGCGAACAGGCAACTTGGCGGCATTTGGGCACGGCACATCACGTGATACACTCTGCGCGAAAACGGGACAGTTGTTCGGACATGTCCCGGGACTTCCGGGATCGAGACGAGCATGCCTTCACTGGCCTATTCGGTCCTTGTAGGGCTGCGACGGGGGCCAGAACAGCCCTGTAGACCTCTACAATTGGACCACGAAAGATTCCCGAGACTTCTTACAACCACACCACCACGTACTCTGACCGAGTTCCCCAGCCTTGTATCCGAAAGTCAAACTGAACTCCTCACCCCACCTTTCCGACCTCAATCACTGCACCATGGAGCTAGAGAAATACCCCCTTTTCTGACCTGTTGCAACACGAAATGCAATACCGGCACGAACTGGAACCGTATTCAGGGCCAATGACATTACTTCAAAACTTGTAGAGTTTTCCAGATTACACTTTCATAGCCGACGAAGACCTCGGGATACATACCTTTCACAGATAACTCAAAACAAGAGAAACGCACAAGCACCTTGAAATAATACGACAGCAACGCAGAAAGTTCAATCATACCTGACTCGTTGATTTTTTGACTTGAAACAGTTGCCATGAGAAGGAACTTGGAACAATAGGGAGAGAGAGCGAAAAAGAGTCAACAAACACCAATGCACCATCCCGGTAACCGTTTGTAAAGAAAAATCTTGAGGTAAATCTTACTCTTGCCCATGCTTCTGGAAAATCCCATCATCTAAACTGTATACCAGCCTACCACAACACCAACGTGACGACGCGTACCAAAAAGGCTCTACCACGGCGTGCGTCCTTGCTACCCAAAAATAGCCTTGCATGGAATAGGAAGGTGAAAGAAAGAAAAGTTGGTGTAAGCCGGCCGTACGGAGCCTTTGGGTGCGTGAAGTTGTAAAAATACCAGAATTCTGCAGTCCGTATACCAAGGCAAAAGCTTATTTGGAAAGAGAGTGTTGATGACCTGCCGGATTCGTCACGCCTCGTCGATCATCTTCCAGGATCTATCGGGTTGCTGAGTGGGGGAGGATGGGGGCGATCTGAGGGTGGAGCAGTGGATACGAGATGGGCTTGGGTAGGATCCAGGTACGCCATTTTCAACAAGGTTGCGCACGACTACGCTGCTGAAGGGTGTCAGTGACGGTCTTTAACCTAAGTACTGCTAGTCCTGGAAATGGGATATCCTTGCGTCACTGTGTTGTCCCTAGGGGAAAGAGCCTGATATGCTTGGTTCCCTCCAAGTCCGAATTCGATACCGAACACTGCACGCTATGATGAACTGTAACCTTTGAAGTAGGAGATATGAAAATAGTTGTCTATCCCTGTAGGATCGAAGCAACGGAAGGTTGTCAGCTGACTCTGTTGGGTGAGGCTACACACCTTGTAGGGTAAGAGCGGATACTAGGCGATCTGGGGCTGAATGAATCATCGTCGATAAGTGACATCAACTCGGACATTCGGACGCGACGACTGTAATCAATGCGCGCAAAGCGTGCTGGCCAGAGCTCTGATATGGATGAGGCAGAGTCACGAGCGGCTGTTGAATATGACCTAGCCTTACGTACGGTCCAATTTCAAGGGGGGGTATTACGTGAGACAAGGGGAGGTTGGGATGACGATTTGGCAGTCTTGGTCAGTGCGCGGTTGTTGCTAAACCAGGCTCAATCATCCACGATAGGAACTCACTTGATGAAGTTTTATTACGAGCGGCGAGACAGGAAGACATAGCAACGATGTAGGACAGAGAAGAAGAAGACACGGACATTTTTTCCAAGCTAGTTGACATATTTGAAAGCAAAACATGGGGTATCGCGTACTAGTACTAAGAACAGATGATAACGTCGAAGACACCGTTGGCTGCGCATAAGTGAAAGGAGGTCATGCGGCCGAGCGCTGCACTGGCTCAGAATCAAATCGATGATCTATGCGGAGCGAGACAATGGCCATTGGGAGATACAAGAGTGTGGAGGAAGGTAAAACCGTAAGGACGGCGGGTGGCATGGATGGATACCAGGTCGTGTCGCAACGTGCAAGAGCTTTATGCAGCTGAAAATGCACCAAAGAGTAGGGAACAACACCTCAATGAGAGGTAACAAAGCGACGTTTATCCATTATACCAGCCATTTGATCCGACATTTGCCTCTTCATTTTCACGATGCGGTATGAGAGGCTCTTTGATATTGTAAGCATCAATGAACATTCGCCAAGTGGGATAGTCGAGGCTGAAGACGGCTTGATGCTTTTGGACATTTTCTTCTCGTTGTTCCGAAACGCCGCGAGGGGCTGCTGGTACTATTCACAGGTAAGTAGACAAAAGGAATACGAACGCGGCTGCTCTTACCCAGTAACGGAAGGCCATCATCATCCTTGACGATCTTGGCATTGCCTTCTCTCACCAAGAAACTAATATAAAATAAATTTTCGACCGTCTGGCCGAAGTCGTGGGGATTGATGGCGAAATCAAGTAAATTGACAGCAGGCTCTCCATCTGTGGTCATGGCCATTCTATATCGGCGGAAAGCGGCGTTTTGCGATTCGTCGTCTATCTCGCTCTCCGGTATCTCACTAAGCTCGCTTTCCACGCGGTCCGCGCCTTGCTTGGTATGATCGATTAATCGTTTTCGGATGCCCTTGACAAGATTGGAGAGGTTGTTATTTTCGTTCTGCTGGATGTCGCCTTCTTTGATCTCCTGTGGCCGGGTTGCAGGGCCGACTGGTTGTCGTTGGGACCGAGCTTTCCGCTGTGTTGCTGATCGAATGCGCTTCTGTACTGACAATGGACCAAGAAGAAAACTGGCTGTAGGTGGCCGCTTGTTGCAGGGAAAACATGCCCTTCGGCCTAACATTGCCCAATCAAGACCATCTGGGTCATCATCATCGTCATCGCCCACTGGCATGGCCGGCGCGTCCTCGTCTCCCGCCACGTAGCCCCCTGATTTCATGAAGTATATACATTTGGAAACGAACTGGTCTAGATCGATGCCTGCACTGTGATTGCCCAAGGCGTTATTGAGTTTTTTGCCTGCCAAATCACTGGCGTTGACCAAGAAACGGGAGTCTACGGTAGCGTCAGCTGTTTGGCGCACTTTGCCAAAAAGGCTGTTTTGCGTTCTGAGGGCATCGAGGAGGCCACTATCATGCGCCTTGATGAGATCATCGCGATTGTCTGTCTTGGTCAGTGAGTTTACAATGCTGATAAGGCGGTACTGAACCCACCATCCAGCATGCGCTGATGGTCGCGCATTGTCGCACGCAGCCGCCTTCGCTTCTCGGGATCTTGGTTAGGGTTGTAGAATCTGAGATGGCCCTCTTCCTCTTGCTCAGGCTGAAGATGAGACTGTGAAGGCGTGTCAATGCCGTCCTCTTCGTCATCCTGGTCCGCATTCTGCTCGTCGTCATATATTTGTGAACGGGACATGGTGTAATTGTCTGTGCGCCTTCTCTTGCTGCCATTGCCATCTGTCGAGCCTGAATCCGGTGTAGGCATACGCGCCGACACGACCCTCAGGCCCCTTGATTTGCCTCGCCGCGGGGTACTATCGCGAGTTGCAGGCGATTCGTTCTCTTTGTCTGAGTTCATGGAACGAGTTGGACTGATTACTGAATAGGAGGACGTGCGTCCATTTTGCTCTGTTCGGGGCGCTACGGAAGGGTCGCGGTAGAGGGAGTCGACGGTAGAGGCGCGTGTCTGTGGCGTAGCAGAAAGATGGGTATTGAGGCGCGCCATTGCAGCGGGCTCCGGCGGACGAACCGGGAGAAAAGACAGCACAATCTGGAAACGACGAGGGAGCGACAAGGATATCGCGGGGTATGGGCGTGGTGTTGAGGCGGAGACAGTGATTGTCAGCCCTATGCTGCTCTTGCGCCTGTGCCTGGCACCCGACGCGGTTGTGGCCCACAAGCCTAGCGCGACTTTTGTCTGACCAAAGCGCATCCGCATTCGTCAGCCAAGCCTGCGTGCACCGCCACTGCACTGTCACGGTAACAGCCCCGCCCCCCCGTGGCTGGTCATGCTCAAGCCACACCAAGCTCACCACCAGCCACATGCTTGCTGATGCTCATGCCTGTCCCCCCACTGGGACACGAACATGACCATGTGCGCATGAACTACTGTTCGCAACACTCACACCCTCTCGCCTCGTCATGTGTCCCTACTACAAACGACACACTTCATCCTGATTCGCCTACATCCAGTTCGTGCTTCCTCTCCATGGCATGCTGTAGCAAGCAGCTTCGTCACCGTCCACGATGGAGGCCTTCAACTTCGCGACGTCTCTTGACTTGACCGAGCTATCCGTCCATGTACGAATGTAGGAGCCCGGCCATATTGAAGTACCTGTTTCCTGCGTGCTGAAGGTGTATGCAGTGATCGTCTGGATGGAAACCAGAAGCCGGTTCCCTACTCGGTGCTGTTGAAGCGACCCGACCTTAGACATCGCGCTTCCATAATCAAGTGAGTCGGCCCTCACCCGGTGCTCCTGTAGGGACATAGGGTTAACAGTAAGCCTGTAGCCCGTATTTCGAGCTATACGTCACGGCACAAGTGTGGGCCGACAGCAAGCCCCTTACTGTCCCCGTCCAGACTGCCTACAAGTCATTCAAGAACGCGCGCATATGGAATGAGTGGCTACAACTGCCCGTTACGTACGCAAACCTCCCCGCATCTGCCCAGCTAGCCATCACCTTATGGGATCTATCGCCCGCCGAAGACAAACAGTCTAACCTCCATGCCGTTCCTTTCGGTGGCACAACGATACCGCTGTTCGACAGCGACAACACGCTGCATAAGGGTAGGCAACGCTGTCGTATACACCGCTACAAGGCAGCCGATGGCCTGACCAACACCTCAACACCTTGGGTAATACAGCCCGCGCGGAAACCCAGGAATGCCGAGGTAGTCGAGGACACAGTCGATGAGCAAATTGCTGAGATGGACCGGCTGGAAGGGCTGCTCAAGAAGCAGGAAATGGGAGACCTTCCGACAAACAACTGGCTTGACGGGTTGGTCTACAAAAAGATGATGCAAATACGAAAGGACGCCCTGACGGCTGAGGCCGCAGCTCTCAGCCGACAAAGCAAGGTGAATGGCACCAGCGACATCGCTGCACAGGCCGAAGAACATGAGCTCTTCTATCTCGATATCGAATTTCCCCGCTTCGACCACGCCATTGTCTTCACCGACGTTGAATACCCGCCACCTCCTGTCTCCGATTTGCGATTGCCAACCGAAGCTGACGTTAGGCTGCGCCCGCCACCAGAAGTCGCTTTTGGGCCCGGGATAGACATTGATGGGGTAGGGTACGGCGATGCAGACGCAGAACGGCTCATCAAGATTTATGATCCCGAGGTTGGGCGAAGAGTCAATCCCGCCGAAGACAAACACCGCGAGTTGATGCGTAGCCAGCAGACCGATTCGTTGGACCGCGATCGAAAACCAAACGTGCACGCCCGTGACAAACTGAACATGGTCTTGTCCAAGGGTCCCCTTGATGAAATCACGTCGCACGAGCGAGACGACATCTGGAGATTCAGGTATTTCTTACTCCGCGACAAGCGTGCCTTGACAAAATTCGTCAAGTGCATCAATTGGAAGAATCCACGAGAAGTTCGGCAAGCAGCACCACTGCTGGAAAAGTGGGCCGAGATTGATGTTGATGACGCTCTTGAATTACTCGGACCTCACTTCGACCACCCCATTGTTCGAAGTTATGCCGTCGAGCGTTTGAAGAAAGCCGATGATGAAGAACTCCAGTTGTATCTCTTGCAGTTGGTACAAGCTCTTAAGTATGAGGCACCAGGCGAGGCAGACGATTCGTCACTTGCACGTTTCCTTGTCACTCGTGCTGCAAACAGCTTCACTTTGGGCAACTTCTTGCATTGGTATCTCATGGTTGAGATTAGCGACCTTAGTGCTGACCAAGCCCCCGAACATCGTGATCTGTTCGCAAAAGTAGAATACGACTTTATGGTTGAGCTTGAAAAAACGCCGGAAGGCATCAGTATACGCAAGACCTTCCAACGCCAAGGCGAGCTACTCACCATCCTGGCCAAAATATCAAAAGATGTGCGCTTTGGCGGTGGTGATCGGCCTACGAAGATTGCGCGTCTCAAGAAAGCAATCGCAGACCCCAAAAACGAGCTTACAAGTTTTGACCCGTTACCTCTACCTCTCGATCCGTCAATCCTAATTACCGGAATATCAACCGAGGATTGCAATGTCCTGAAGTCGTCATTACTTCCCATGGTGCTATCATTCAAGACTACGACCGGGACACCCTACCCCATCATCTTCAAAACTGGTGACGACCTCCGCCAAGATCAACTCGTCATCCAAATCATCACTCTTATGGATCGATTGCTCCGCAAGGAAAATCTCGACCTGAAACTCACTCCGTATCGCATCCTTGCAACTTCGTCGTCAGCTGGAGCATTCCAGTTTGTGCCAAGCATGTCGATCGCTGCGGCATGGCAAAAGTACAGAGGCAGTCTCCTCGCCTACCTGCGCGCCAACAACCCCGATGATAATGCTCCGTTAGGTGTAAGAAAAGAAGCAATGGATACGTATATCAAATCCTGTGCCGGGTATTGCGTGATCACCTATATTCTCGGGGTTGGCGATCGCCATCTAGACAACCTGCTGCTCGCACCTTCGGGCGCGTTTTTCCATGTCGACTTTGGTTATATTCTAGGTCGCGATCCAAAGCCATTTGCCCCAGCCATGAAGCTCTCTCATGAAATGATTGAAGGAATGGGCGGAGTCCAGCATCCCAACTACTCTGCCTTCAAGCAATACTCGTATACTGCATGGTCTACTTTGCGCAAATCTTCGAACCTGATACTCAATCTCTTTGCTCTTATGCAAGGGGCCAACATTCCCGATATCAAGGTTGAGAGGGAAGGCAGCGTCAAGAAGGTGCAAGAGCGCTTGGGTCTTGAGAGGGGTACTGATGGAATTCAGGGAGAGGATGAGGCTGCGATGAGATGGGAAAGATTGATTGAAGAGTCACTGGGTGATTGGAAGGCCGGAGTAATTGATTGGGCCCATGACTTTGTTCAGGGTTGGCGGAAGTAGAACTTTATTCAGAGAGAAACAATAAATTAAGCTCAATGAGTGTTCTCTCTTATTGCCAATGTCGCCGACACGGAGTGTCTCAGGTGAAAATGGAAGTATACCTTCCCCCATTGACTGCCATAGTAGCTATGACTCCCTCCATACACCATACGATGTAAATGTAGCTACAAAATCACTCCAACCAGTCCTTCTCAACGTTCTTCACCATGTCCGCAAGCCACGGCTCGTCCTCTTCATAGATTGAATCATCAAAACCATGTTCACCGGGCCGCGCGACCAAGTCGAATCTCGTGTCCGGAAACAACTCCCTCGCTCTCTCTACAAACTTCTCCGTCCACTTGATAGGCACAATGCTATCATCCTTGCCATGCAGAACATATGTGGGAATAAAAGACTTTGCAGTCTCAATACGCGTGTCCGGCATGAGGTGCTGTCCAGTGCCAAAGAACTCATCCCAGCGCCCGTATGCCAGCAGTAGGGGCATGATTTGGCTGCGAGCAGGCGGAGTAGCTGCACTGACGACGGTACCCGGTTTCATGGTTGCAAGGAAATCGTCCAGGTTCTTCTTTGGTGGGAAAGGGCCACCCAAGATGGTATCGTCCGGAGAATAAGGAATGGCGTTTACTACAGGATACTGGATGAAACAAGCACGGAATGTCTTTTCTGGTAGAGAAAGGACTGACTGGAGCGCCATCCAGCCGCCGGCAGAATCGCCTGTGACTAAGATCCTGGAAAAGTCGGGCTCTATGGAAGAGTCTTTGGATGCAAGGTACGTGGGCAGCGAAGACGTAAGCCAGTTTCCTAGGGAAGCAATGTCTTCTAGGATCTCATCACCAGTGTGCTCTGGAGTCAGCCGGTAATTTGGAACAATGGCGATCGCTTTGTTGCGCACAATGAGTGGGATCATATAAGCAGAGTACCATGGGGGGTACAGTGCTGTTCCTGTGGTCTGAGGACACATGGTAAGTAGTTGGTAAGACTGTCATCTCGTCAGGCAACTTACTAGACCTCCGCCGTGCCATTTGACCATCAACGGATGCTTCCCAGGCGAGATCCCTTTAGGTACAAGGACATTGACTTCGATTTCATGGTCGCCGATTTTCTTGTATGAAGTGGTGTAGACATTTAAGCTATCGAAGCGGGTCTCCGGAGTGGTGCGGAGTGACATCCTTGTGCGGGGTAATGCGCGTTCAGCCTCAAGGGGCGATCAACATGGAACTGTTGCTTGAGTTAAGTATCGGCAGCTGTGTAGTGGCCAGATTGTATTCTGCAGCTGCTATGATGGCATGAGTTTGATTTTGAGTCGAGTCTTGACAGCAAGGTTGGCAATACATACTTATTGTGAAAGGTCCCCTGCCGTGCGAGATGTAAGGCCAACAAAGGATTGTCACCAGTCAGAAGCTTAATCTCACTATTAGGCTAGTGACAGTTACTATCTCTTATTGGTAACCTCGGTTCTACCTACCTGTTTAGGCCGGAATGCTGCTTAGACGATTATCATATTGGTCTTCTCACTACGCTGTGCATATACGGATCGCTGCACAACAACTTATTACAGTGGGGTGACAAAAAAAAAGAACTCCAAAAAGTTGTGATTTTTAAACATCCATTGCTCAATAGGTATTAGCGCTAAACTAATAAAAAATATATCGTTGAATAGGAAATTTCTTGGCGTTTAAGATGGCGGTCTAGTATTACTGCTTAGTCAGCACTACGAAGGCTATTTGTCCTCTTAAACCTGGATTAAAAAAATCTTCTAACTTTAGCTCCAAATTTCGCGCTGTAAATTTTAACTTTTCTTCTATCTATTAATATTAATAGATATATATAATATCCTAGTTTTATATGTATAGTACTAGAAAGTGTGTAATTAAAATATAGATAGATAGTAGAGGTAATGTAATTATTAGATAAAGAAAGATGTTACAAGTAACAAGAAGGATTCTCTCCTTGACAAGTGACGAGATGGCTGAAGGCCTATGGACGTCCACGTCAGAAGATAATGATCATCGCGGGGCGAAGATCACGTGATTGACATCACGCCAAGACGACCGTTAGGCGCTAGTATGTAATGGCAGCAATCCTGTGAGGGCAGCCATCAGGGACATCAGGCGAAGAGGAAGGAAGTCATGATGGCAGTGATAGCAAGACTAGAAGTAATGAGGATATAAGGATGGATGGATTTCATTATTTACTCTCGTTGTGGTTAACTTAAATTATACTTTCTTACTAGTATCTTTACTTAATAAGATTATCGCAAGTTAGTCTATTAAATAGATTAGTCTTGTTAAAACCCTCCTTAAGTACGCTAACTCTACTACATCGCCAGACAAGCCTCACGGAATACTAACGTAATACTTACCTGCCTTAGTACGGACTAGAATAGAGAAGTATAGACCTATACCCTATATAACACTTTAACCACCTATAGATCTAGTAGAAGAAGAATTAACTAACAGCGTCTAATTAAGATTAAACTATGTTAGGAAATTTAAGCGAATACGTTAACATCCTAGGCCTAGTGCCTAAGGGAGATATTAATATAACTAGTAGTACCTAAGAGGAAAGTAACGAGCTAGCGGTAGGGAGCTCTAAGTACGAACTCGTTAATCTTAGACGTAAGAGCTAAGCCTAAGTAAGGTAGATAGCTAAGTTATAGAATACGATTAACTAACTTATAGGCTAACTAATAGCTACCTTAAATAAGAAACTACTTAAGAAGCTAAAGATAGTAACCTTAGAAAAGTATAATAGAAGTTGTATAGAGTTATAGACATTTCTTACTAATATTAACTTATACTACGAATTTAACGAAGTACTTAATAACTAGAAGAAGATTCTTATAGCTAGCACCTATATAAAAGAATAAGCGTTAAGCTAGATATAGCTATACGTAGAGGACTACCTATTAAATATTAAAAATAAAGGAACGAAGAACGAGACGCACGCCTTATTCACTAGTTAGGCCGAATTTAAAAAAGAGATAGGATATATCTTTAGGGAAGTAGATACTTAGAACTAAGTAAAGAAAGTAATAACTCGCCTAAAGTAGACTAGTTTAGTATTAGCGTATATAGCTAAGTTTAAGCAGCTATAAGTACGAATTGACTAGGACGACGTAGTACTTCGATGTTACACGGGGTATAGGTCTATACTTCTCTATCCTGGTCCGCACTAAGGCAGGTGAGTATTACGTTAGTGTTCCGTGAGGCTTGTCTGGCGATACAGTGGAGTTAGCGTGCTTAAGGAGGGTTTGACAAGACTAATCTATTTAATAGACTAACTTATAACAATCTTGTTAAGTAAAGATACTAGTAAGAAAGTACAATTTAAGTTAACTATAACGAGAGTAAATAATAAAATCCATCTATCCTTATATCCTCATTACTTCCAGTCCTAACATCTAGCCAAGCCCTTAACATCTCTAATGTTACTAGCATCTCCAGATATCCTAGCATCTCCTAATGTCCTAGCATCTCCTGAGGGTCTAGCATCTCCAGATATCCTGCCTTAGCGAGATACCACGTCACGTGATCAGCGCCCCGCGTTGATTATTACCTTCTGACGTGGACGTCCATAGGCCTTCCGCCATCTCGTCATTTATCAAGAAGAGAATCCTTTTTATTACTTATAACATTACCTCCCCTCTTAGAGCTATCGTCTCAATACCCTAGAATATTATTTTCCCGTGCCGCGTATTAAGACGCCGGCTGTATATAAGGTTAGAGCCCGTCCACTCGTTATAGCCGTCTCTGCCTCGTAGCCTTCCTAACCATACCTAAGGTCCATAAGCCCCGTGCCCTACGTTCTCAAACTTCGACTAAGCAGAAGCGTTCCCAGGCCGCCCGCGTAGAGTAAGAGAGCCTTAAAATAGAGTTCCGCTATAAGCGTTATAAAGAGAAGAAGTTACGTTATTTTATAGAGACAACAACGGGTTATTGCGCTAGTTACATTTCCATTAGTACTAAGTGTAGTCTTTTTATTTTCGAGAAAGAGTGGGAGAAAGTTTAAGAGAAACGTAAAGAACGAGAACTAGCTATAGCTCGTCTTAAGGCATAGCTTTCTTAATAGAAGTTAGAGCTTCTAGAAGTAAAGAAGCGTAAACGGGTTTTCGCGCGTCGCGATCTTGCGATTCTTACTATTTAAGATCGTACGAAAGAGCAGGCCGAGAGGAGTTCAGCTCCTAGAGGTACGGGCCTTCCTATTGTCGAACTATCGCTATCCAGACCATTGGCTAATCTAGGTGGGTTATAGGCTAATTACTATAATCCTTCTTTTAACTATTCTTTTCTCTTCAAGGGGCTTCCCCTCGCTTCTCTAGATACTTCTAGTGGTATTCACGTACTAGTAACTTACAGTTCGTTAGGTTTCCTTTAGGTTCCCAAGTATTATAGCTTTTAGGCTATCCTTACTACTTAACTAAGTACTTCTACTAACTACTAATTTTCTGTAGGTCCTTAATTTTCTTGACCTCGTACTCGTCATCTTTAAGCTCTATATTCGTTACTAGCTTAGCATCTAGAGATGCTAACGTGATGGATAAGCGAGTCGCGCAGGCAAGCGAGTCGCGCACCCACCAAACCTACGCACCTCTATAAGCGTATAGTGCCACCACAATGTAACTATCTTGATATATATTAATATAATATATTAAGTAGTACCTATAGTATCTTTCTTGCATGTACGCGCATTATGGCCAGTCTCTCTACACCTACTACAGCGCGCAAGAGCCTGGCGACTAGCACCTGATCGCTCTCCTCCTTGACGCTCTTCATGAGCAATCTGCTGATCAGCCTCACGCTGAGCAAGTAGATCCTCTCCAGCTCCCTTTGTTAGCACTCCTTGCTTCTGTATTTGCTTTTTTTTACGCTGCCTACGCTTCGTTGCTGCTGCATTAGCTCTCTCAAGGCTGGTGATCCGATCGCGCATTAGCTCAGCCGAGAGTATCATTACCTCTGCCCCCTTCTTAAGCTGGTCAATTGCTGCAATAATTGAAGCTAGTGATGAGCCTTGGTGCCGCTGAACGCGATCGCGTATTAACGTCGATTGAGCTTCAAGCTCACGTGTGTTGCTAGGCGTACGAGCCTGCCATAGAGCCTCTAGAACAGCTGGTGGAGTAGGCGTACGGAGCTTTATATCAAGCTTTGATAGAACAGCGTCTGGTTGGAGAGGAACAAGGCCTGCGCCACGGAAGGCAGAGCAGATATTGGCTGGCGTGAAGGATCGATCGAACGCTACCTTAAACGCTGGCAGAAACTCGAGCTTAGTGATGTAGTTGATATGGTAGCGGATTAGACTCTCTACCTCCCGGCTGTACGCACGCTTTAATGGCGAGAAACAGCCAACGTCAAGAGGCTGGAGTAGGTGAGATGAGTGCGGCGGCATACAGAGAGTATAGATATTATTCTCCTTGCAGGAACTCTTGGAACTCAAGAGAGTGGTGGCTC